TCCAAACCCCTCAACACTGTACAGCAGCTCTCCCGAGGAAACGGGATCACAAAACTGAAAAATAGCAGATATATAGTGAACTGTGATTAATCTTCTTTTTATTCGTCCTTTACGGTCCTCTTTTTCCGCTTCGGGTGTCGGGGGGATTATAAGGTCGTGCTTCGAGACTCTTCTGGCTTCTTCGTCCATAGACACATCGTGATGCTTTTTTATATTTTCCTTACCAACGCCACGCCAAGTCTTTCTATCCTATTGCTATCGCATGCAGCTTCTCTCCATGTCCTCCCCATCTTGTTAACTTCATTCTCCAGCTGCCTCCCTCCATAAACAAATGTTTAAAACACTAAAGTTGGGGATGAATTCAAAAGGGAATACAGAAATAACAGAAATGTCTTGGCTACCGACTGAAGAAACAACAGTTATAAGATAAAGAAGGTTTCACTTTAATGAGCACATCCTGAGACGGGAACGACCAAGAAATCCCACCAAACAGTCTCTAACAAGCCTCGCACAAAGTATGACAACCGCAACGTATCCTCTGTGATTCCAGTAAAAAATGCACTCATAACAAAGACGACCGTAAAAAAAAAAAAATTGAAAACAACCAAATTTTTTTTAAACCTTTTTTTTTTTTTAAAGAGGGACTAGGGAAACCACTTTATCATTCGACGTAGAAATCCTCCTGGGAGTAAAAAATAAATAAGTAAGCAAAAGCCCATGCCCATTTGCCACTTTGTGTAATATGGTGCCAGAATTAAATTTTAATAGACCTATTCGTCGTCAGCCCATAGATGGACGTACGATGTTTACATAGTAAATAAGTTAACGAATTATTTTAAGTTCACTATGTCTCTTGCTCGTATTTTTTCCTTTCTACTCCTGGAATGTCACAAGGAAGAAATTGAAATCTCTGGGAACGTGCCCTTTCTTTTTTAATACTTCGTATAGAGTACTTTTTCAGTGTCTCTGATATTTCTTTGGGTTCCCATGTTCTGGGCGTGATCGACCATTCTGGTTTATGATTTACAAGCTGTATATGTGTAAACAATGCTCTCTATGGCGCCCTGGTATGGAATGCCAGTGCTTGTTGTTGTTACAAAGAAACCGGGCAAAACCATTTGATTTGTTTTCTACCTACACAGTTCTTTATTGGTTCTGCCCCAACTCTGCTCCTGATATCATCATTCCTAAGTCTGTCTTTCCTCGTTACAGCTAGCATGGTATGCACACATTTAATTTCTTTCGTTAGTATTTTCATTCTGTCTTTCGAATGCAGTTTTCATGTTTGACATTGATAGAATAGCATTAGTAAGAACATTGTGTTGAGCAGTGTTCTTTTGGTATTCATATACACATGCCTGCATTTCAAAATTGGTGCCACTTGGCCGAAAACTAAGTTAGCTTTATTGCATCTTTGCTGTATGTTGTATCTAACATTATTGTTCACAGTGGATCTGCAAGCTGTTAATGGCAGCCACAACATACTTCCATACGTGTCCCTTTTACTGGATGTTTGTGGAGGGGCTTTACTTATTCACTATTGTGGTGTGGGCTTTCTCGACTCAGAAGCTGCGTCTGTGGTACTACTTGGTCATCGGCTGGGGTAAGTCAGTTCTGTGATAGTTCAGGGTAGTTACAAAAGCATCTTCAGTCAATATTAAGTGTGACGGGGTGGAGTAGTTTCAGTAGAGTGTTCTATCGATATTATGGGTTTGACAGGTTAGGGTAGTTTCAGTAGTGTGTTCTATCGATATTATGTGTGTGACAGGTTAGGGTAGTTTCAGTAGTGTGTCCTATCAATATTATGTGTGTGACAGATTAGGGTAGTTTCAGTAGTATGTTATATCAATATTATGTGTGTGACAGGTTAGGGTAGTTTCAATAGTGTGTCCTATAAATATTATGTGTGTGACAGGTTAGGGTAGTTTCAGTAGTGTGTTCTATCAATATTATGTGTGTGACAGTTAGGGTGAGTTTTTCAGTGAGTTTTGTCCTATTCAAAATTATGTGTGTGACAGGTTAGGGTAGTTCAGTAGTATGTTCTATCTAATATTGTGTGTGTGACAGGTTTGGGTAGTTTTCAGTAGAGTTATGTTCTATCAATATTATGTGTGGTGACAGGTTAGGGGTAGGGTTTTCAGTAGTATGTTCTATCAATATTAGTGTGTGTGACAGGTAGTTGGGTAGTTTCAGTTATTTTAGTATGTCTAGATCAATATTATGGATCATATTGTGTGGCAGGCTTTAGGGTAGTTTCAGTAGTATGTTTCTATCAATATTATGATGTGTGGCAGGTTAGGGTAGTTTCAGTAGGTGTGTCCTATCAATATTATGTGTGTGACAGGTTAGGGTAGTTTCAGTAGTATGTTCTATCAATATTATGTGTGTGACAGGTTTGGGTAGTTTCAGTAGTATGTTCTATCAATATTATGTGTGTGACAGGTTAGGGTAGTTTCAGTAGTATGTTCTATCAATATTATGTGTGTGACAGGTTTGGGTAGTTTCAGTAGTATGTTCTATCAATATTATGTGTGTGGCAGGTTAGGGTAGTTTCAGTAGTATGTTCTATCAATATTATGTGTGTGACAGGTTAGGGTAGTTTCAGTAGTATGTTCTATCAATATTATGTGTGTGACAGGTTTGGGTAGTTTCAGTAGTATGTTCTATCAATATTATGTGTGTGGCAGGTTAGGGTAGTTTCAGTAGTGTGTCCTATCAATATTATGTGTGTGACAGGTTAGGGTAGTTTCAGTAGTATGTTCTATCAATATTATGTGTGTGACAGGTTTGGGTAGTTTCAGTAGTATGTTCTATCAATATTATGTGTGTGACAGGTTAGGGTAGTTTCAGTAGTATGTTCTATCAATATTATGTGTGTGACAGGTTTGGGTAGTTTCAGTAGTATGTTCTATCAATATTATGTGTGTGGCAGGTTAGGGTAGTTTCAGTAGTGTGCTCTATCATTATTATGTGTGTGGCAGGTTAGGGTAGTTTCAGTAGTGTGTTCTATCAATATTATGTGTGTGACAGGTTTGGGTAGTTTCAGTAGTATGTTCTATCAATATTATGTGTGTGGCAGGTTAGAGTAGTTTCAGTAGTATGTTCTATCAATATTATGTGTGTGACAGGTTTGGGTAGTTTCAGTAGTATGTTCTATCAATATTATGTGTGTGACAGGTTTGGGTAGTTTCAGTAGTATGTTCTATCAATATTATGTGTGTGGCAGGTTAGGGTAGTTTCAGTAGTGTGTCCTATCAATATTATGTGTGTGACAGGTTAGGGTAGTTTCAGTAGTGTGTCCTATCAATATTATGTGTGTGACAGGTTAGGGTAGTTTCAGTAGTATGTTCTATCAATATTATGTGTGTGGCAGGTTAGGGTAGTTTCAGTAGTGTGTTCTATCAATATTATGTGTGTGACAGGTTTGGGTAGTTTCAGTAGTATGTTCTATCAATATTATGTGTGTGGCAGGTTAGGGTAGTTTCAGTAGTATGTTCTATCAATATTATGTGTGTGACAGGTTTGGGTAGTTTCAGTAGTATGTTCTATCAATATTATGTGTGTGTCAGGTTTGGGTAGTTTCAGTAGTATGTCCTATCAATATTTTGTGTGTGACAGGTTAGGGTAGTTTCAGTAGTGTGTTCTATCAATATTATGTGTGTGACAGGTTAGGGTAGTTTCAGTAGTGTGCTCTATCATTATTATGTCAAGTATTGATATTATATCAAGTTTAGTTTAATTAAAACAGCTGTCTAGAATTTACTGATAACTCATGACGATTTCTCTGTCAACAGTGGTGCCATTTGTAGTCACCGCAATATGGGCAGCCATTAAGGACAACTTTGAAAACGCACAGTGAGTATTTCATTAAAATTCATGTTCAGTTCCATTTCATAACGTTAGTTGCGTATCCTTTACAGGACGTCGCAGAACCAACTCCAGCGTTTTTTGGCTGTTGTGGTTTTTCTAGGCAAATTTGCGACCATTAGTTTGCCATTGCTTTCAGGACGGTCAGCTCTTGGTACCATTGTCGAAACCAACGCAAGTCGCAGGGCCCGCAGCAGGGATCGAACACAGCACTCAGGCATTAAGAAGCGCATTCGCAACGCCTAAGCCACGGACGCCGACATCCATTTCATACTCACTTATTTTAAATTTTTTTAATCCGTTTTTTTTTTTTTATCTCTTGGCCTCTGCGATGTTATAAATGTTAAGCAAAGCATATATGTGTGTGTGTCGGCAAACTACTGGACGTAAATTTGCCTAGAAAAACCACACAACAGCCAGGGACTGTTGGGGTTGGTTTTGCAACGTCCTATAAAGGATACGCAACTAACCTTTGTACGTATGTATATATATTTATACTAGCTGTACCCGGCCACGCGTTGCTGTGGCCCAGTTTAGTGAAATGGAGAGAAAAGAAAAAAGCTCCCAGCTAACGGTGTCTGTCAAATACCCCCCCCCCCCCCCCCCCCCTTTTTCCATTTCCCTCTCCGACGGATTGAAAAATCATCCATGGCGAAATTATTAAAAAAGAAATAGTTAAGAAATGAGAACATTAAGATAATATTTTTAGCTCTCCCAGCTAACGGTGTCTGGCATAACCCCCCCCCCCTCCCCCTCCAGCTCCCCCACTCACATTTCCCTCTGCCAAAGATTGAAAAATCATCACCTGGCGAAGTCAAATCTCCCTCTCCGAAGGACTGAAAAATTATTCATGGCGAAATTTTGAAAATAGAAATAGTTAAGAAATGAGAACTTTAAAATAATATTTTAAGCTCTCTCAGCTAACTGTCTCTGGCAAATTCCCCCCCCCCCCCCCCCCCAATCATATCTCCTTCTCCGAAGGATTGAAAAATCATCACCTGGCGAAATTATTAAAATAGAAATAGTTAAGAAATGAGAACTTTAAAATAATATTTTGAGCTCTCTCAGCTAACTGTATCTGGCATCCCCCCCCCCCCCCCCCCCTCTCCCCCAATCATATAATATCCGAAGGATGGGAAAGTCACCGTGTAACGAAATATTGTAACTAAATTGAGCTTTGCATCCGTGTCTACCCAGACATAAATAGGTAGCATTAACTTGTACAGAGAAGTAAATGTAGCCAGTGTAACAGCTACCACATCACTCATCCAGTACCAGTACTACTGCAACCACAACCACCACCACCATCACAACAACAACAACAACAAAAACTGTCACTACAGTCTGTGTAGGTCGGTGTAGAAAAGAGGAGTTAGAACCGTATGCTGTCGCCACGGACTATTTAGTTTGATTTTGCCCCGGACATAGGGGGAAAAAAACTTCATCACGTAACCAGTGATGGAACCCACATTGAAAAGTACACTTTACTCACGAAAAGGCTAGAAAAATACCCCGCACCCGTCATCTCTCCCTCTCCGAGGGAACGATTTTTAACTGACCTTGGCATCCGTGAACACCCCAACTAAACTGGACTGTAAGCCGCATTATTTAACAGTTTCTGTCATCGCCGAATCGTTTTTGATCGAGAAGCGAGGCGGGGAGGCTAATTAGGACTTAACTGAAATCGGGCGAAAGGCGCAGATATCGCAGCCTAGCTGTAAACCACAACACAACGTGGCAATCACACTTTAGGGGACAATGAACAATTATCACCCAGCAGGGAATAGAACACCGGTCACCCGAGTGACGAATGACATACTTACAACTTTACTACCGATGACTGAAGAGTTTAGGTCTCGAGGGCGAACGAAGATTACCCGTGGCATGACCATTGAGCATCACGTCGCCGCTGTCGCAGGCTAGCTGTAAACCCCAAACCGAAAAAGACGTAGATATCGTAGCCTAGCCATAAACCACAACACAACGTGCCAACCGCTCAGTTAAGAGCTAAAAAAATTATATCACCTAGCGCGGAATTGAACGCGGGTCACCTGCATGATATGCAGAATAGTTAACAACTAGGCTACCAAACACTCAAGCAAGTCGTGGAAATGAAATTATATAATAATGCAAAGTTCAATAAGAGCTCAGCAGTCAAATATGGCCGATCACATAAAAACTAATCCAGGCCGGCAACGAAACAAATAATGATTTGACCGTTGCTGGAGCTACGTCGTTCGTGGTTTGAGCGATTTTCTGACACAAAATCACGCTTGGAGTCAGAGGCAACGTTGTATGTAAATTAATTTAAAAGCAATTGCTTCTGTAGATTCCGAGTTTTTAGCTTACATCATCGGAAAATTAACATTTATATATATATATATATATATATATATATATATATATATATATATATATATATATATATATATATATATATATATATATATACACATATATATATATATATATATATATATATATATATATATATATATATATATATATATATATATATATATATATATATATATATATATATATATATATATATACCATATATATATGCTGTGGACACTCTTGCCACATACATTTTTTTAAACAAATTTTTGAGTCTTCTATTTCCTCATCGGGTTTATTTATTTATTAATTTTTTTTTTTTTTTTTCCTAAACATGTGTACATTTTTACCTGTTAAAAGTATATGGAAACCTGAATTTTAAAGGGAAGAATGCACAAGGATGATAGCTTATGGCTAGAAATATGGACAAAAGTACTTATAGAAACTTAAAGAAATACGCATCAGTCCGTTATGAACACATGAAACTGAACATAGGGTACACGATGTTAAAGCCTTTCAACGCTAAAATTACATTAATGATGATGACAATAATGGTGGTAACGATGATGATTATGATTATATCGGTGGTAACGACGATGATGATGATTATATCGGTGGTAACGATGATGATGATGACGATGATGATGATGATTTTATCGGTGGTAATGATGATGAAGATGACTATATCGGTGGTAATGATGATGATGATAATTATATAGGTGGTAATGATGATGATGATGATTATATCGGTGGTAACGATGATGATGATGAAGACGATGATGATGATGATTATATTGGTGGTAATGATAATGATGATGATTATATTGGTGTTAACGATGATGATGATGAAGACGATGATGATGATGATTATATTGGTGGTAATGATAATGATGATGATTATATCAGTGGTAATGATGATGGCCATGATAATGATGATTATATCGGTGGTAACGATGATGATGATGATGATGACGATGATGATGATGATTATATCAGTGGTAACGATGATGATGATGATCATGATGATTATATCGGTGGTAACGATGATGATGATGATGATTATATCGGTGGTAACGATGATGATGATGATGATTATATCGGTGGTAACGATGATGATGATGATGATGATTATATCGGATGTATTGATGATGGTCATGATGATGATGATTATATCAGTGGTAAGCATGATGATGATGATGATGATGATTATATCGGTGGTATTGATGATGATGATGATTATATCGGTGGTAATGATGATGGTAATGATGATGATGATGATGATTATATCGGTGGTAATGATGATGGTGATGATGATGATGATGATTATATCAATGGTAATGATGATGATGATGATGATGATTATATCGGTGGTAATGATGATGGTAATGATGATGATGATGATGATTTTGTCAGTGGTAACGATGATAATGATGATGATGGTGATGATGGTGGTGGGGGTTTTGATCAATAACATGAGACTATAACATACTTCAGTATTAGTATTCCCAGTGAGATAACCCGAACCATTCATGTATCTGTCAGGTGTTGGCTTCATACTGGCTATCACGTTGATTATATAGTTCACGCACCGGTTCTCGCCCTTCTGACGGTAAGTTGGTTTCGTTGATTAAAAGAAATAACACAATCTCTTTGTCTGTCGCCTCTAGCCATTTTATGTCGGCACATATTCCGTGTCTGTGAATCTTTACAACTTTCTCTTACATCATTCTTTACCCACAAATATAGTTCCTCGTGGCACACATTGTTAAGTAATTTTTTTTTTTTTTTTTTTTTTTTTTTTTTTTTTTTTCAAATTAAGAAAGAAAGAAAAATAAATAATACACCCCTAACCTTCACATAATTTTGTATTATTGTTAACACTTCCCGTCCATTTTAGGATGTAATTTTTCGTTATTTGAAGCCCTACTCTGGATCTTGCCAGGGGCCGCAATATAGCTTGGCCGTAAATATGGCCTAAAGGCTGAAAGCGAATTCTGGGACTTCTCCACGGTGATCCTCACCCACGTGGTGGCACTTTGTGTCATCGGGTGTTTATCGCTTGTGTGATGTCCTGCTGGGGTAGAAAGTCAGTCAGGCAGTCACATAATTTTAATTACAGTATTGGGCGTACGGTTTGATCGCACCCGCATGTGTGATCTTCGTATCAACATATTCTTCTACAAAAATCTTGTCATCCCCAATTTTTCGTTATTTAAAGCCCTACTCTGGCTCTTGCCAGGGGCCGCAATATAGCCCGGCCATAAATATGGTCTAATAGCTCAACGTGGTTTCTGGGACCTCTCCACTGGAGATCCTCATCCACATAGTGGCACTTTGTGTCATCGGGTGTTTATCGCTTATGTGATGTCCTGGTGCGGTAAAAGAAGATAGAAAGTCAGAAGAAAAATTCTTCTTTTTATTTACCGGCTGTAAGCTCTGTCGATCATAACTTATTTCTTAACATAGCAAAAACAAAGATAATGCATACAAACAAAACTGCCATGGAGAAGGAAATATATGTTAATGAGGAAAGATTGGAAGTGGTGGAAAATTTCGAATATCTTGGGTCACTGGTTACCAACAATGGTGACACAATGAAAGAAATTAAACGGCGACTATCAATTGCTCTTCAAAGACTAAAACAACTGAATAAATTATGGAATTGTGCAGATAGAATTACAAAGGTCAGATTTTTAAGAGCATGCATCTTTCCCATTGCAACATACGCCTGTGAGACCTGGACACTTACTAAACAAGCGGAACAGCGCATAAATGCATTTGAATATAAATGTTACATACAGGTTCTAAGAATATCTAGGGTAAAGAAAAGAACAAATGCATCCATACTTCAAGAGCTGAATATTGAAGAGGGTTGGCTAGTAAAGACAATAAAACAAAGAAAATTGAAATATTTTGGTCACTTGAAACGTCATGGAAGTCTTGAGAGAACAATAATGGAGGGGTATATGCCTGGGAAGAGAGGAAGAGGAAGGCCAAGGAGAAGATGGGTGCAGGATGTGGCAGATGATCTCCAGATGGGTGTATCAGACGCAGGACATCTTGCTCAGGATAGGAAGGTTTTCCGGAGGGTTGTTATGGCAGCGAGGTTCCGCGAGGGACATGCTACTGAATGAATGAATGAAGCTCTGTCGAAAGACCTAGTTGTTCATTCATTTGGACTTTGGCTTTGTACCAGAGAGATAGTTATGCGTGTACATCCGTTTTACTAGCTTATTTGTAAATAGTTGGTTGTTCCTTGCCGCTTGGGCAGATGCACTCCGACTTCAAATTAGTCAATTCCTATGACATGCGTGTTGAGAAGGCAGTGGGACTATTCTTGTTTTTCCCCACAGTGGGGCCCCGGAACCCACAAAAAACGATATCTTTGGTTTCGATAAAGTTGTTAAAGGACTAACTGGCTAGTCGATGTGCTGTGATAAAAGGAACCCTCCGCAAAGGCCTTCTTACGTAACCAAGGGGAGTCGCCGTGGTGTAGCTGCAAGACGTTTGTCTGAGGATCGGAAGGTCGTGGGCTCTGGTCCACACTCTTTGAAAAATAATCTTGACTTAAAGGTCAACCCAGCCGTGAATTGGTACCAGGTAAAGGTGGTCGGTGTGGTACTGACGACATCGCCCATTAAGTGCGGTTTGTTCTATAAAATATAGGTCTAGCCCTATATGCCCAATACTCCTGTAGGCGTAGACAATTGTCTTTTATTTTAAACGTGATCACGACAACAGTATGAACTTGTTGCAATCCTCGAAGACGTTATTATGTTCGTGCTCTCTATCGGTATTCTCTGTCTGTTCTATAAGGGTGACTAGAGTAATTAATGACAGTAACATTTGTCATAAGTGGCAGATGAGGCAGTCTCATATGTTTAAGAAAAATCGGCCCACGCCGAACACCTTTATTTTCCAAGACCTTTACCAGTTTAAGGTTGGATCGACCTGTGAGCTTAGGTCGAGTTCGGAAGAAAAAAACTGGCACCTTGCGGATTTGACCCAAGACTTCCGGATCCGCAAGTCAGCATCTAACCGCTACACAACGGAAGCTCACATGATAACATTAACATTTTACAAACAAAAACAATGACAGTGTTCCCTAAAAAACCAATCCAACAGCATAATTACCTTGTAGTAAATCATGATTTGGGGGCAGGGGTAAACTTGTGGTTATTGCACTTCCACTGCGCACAAATATCATCACTGGTGTTCTAGACTCCATCTACTGAAATTCACAAGGAAAATCTCACTAAACTGCAAACAATTCATACAATGGTTGATGTTCGACATGTGCATATTTACCAGTGTCAGAAACGCTACAAAGATTCATTTACCTTAACAAATTTGAATCGGGAAGCAACTCGGTAGAGCACTGTGTTGCTTTTTCTGAGCGACTGACCACAAACAAATAACATTACTACAAGAATTATATGTTTATTTATTAACTTATTTGTGTTATAACTTGTTTGTTATTCAGTTACCGTTCTTTCACTGTACTGTGTGTGATCTAGCACATCTGATCACCTAGCTTGTTCCTTCTTTCCTACAATATCTGCTACTGAATGACCTGCAACCTGATACATATACATTTAGAAACAGTCAAGCAGACGTCAGGCTACCCGGCAAAATTAACAACCACTGTGAATTTTTTTCCAGAGTAATGTGTTTTTTATGGTAACCATCATCTGGGTTCTGGTGACCAAAATGAAGGCTTCCAATTCTCTGGAGACTCGACAGACGAGGTCAGTTTTTGGGGTCTATCAAGTGCTGTATGTCTTTATGCCATTGTTTCGCTATGTCTCATGCTTGTTGTCTAGTATTTTAAGCGCAGTTCATTCGTGCGTACTGCATACTATTACTGTTTTTACCGCTACTAGTGTTAACTTGTTGTTAAAGCCCACTGCTACAACTACCACCACTACTGCTGCTAGTATTAATACACATGCTATACGCGTCGTTTCTGTGGTAAGATGTTCTTTATTTTATTATGATTCTCTTTAAGAATGTTCTTATTTGATCTCTACTGTCTCTGCCTAGCAAATGTTGATAATGAATTATGTACATTTTTTAGATAAAACATTTCCAGTCATGCCTAGTCTCATACAGTCTACATGTGTTGTGCTGAGTTGAGTTGAGTTGGGTTGAGTTGAGTCAAGAATTGACATCACAGCACTCGGGGCATTCCCATGCGTACTCCGTCTTTATCTTCAGCAGCCAGCGCAGATTTCCAATACTGATAGTACCGGTCACATTCTGATTATATGTCCATCTTGCCTTTCCTATGAGTGTAGTTAGCTGACAAGACCCTCTGGTTACACCCAGGTGGCTTATTCTCTCCAGGCCATAATAATCTTCTTTCTCTGCTGATTCCGCTGCTTATTCCCAAAGGGCCTTGACCACGTCTGCCTTGTCTTGTATCAGTTCACCACCCAGTGGTGCAGATCCAGCCAATCTGTCTGGCTGTTCATTACCCACTACGCCGGGATGGCCTGGAGAAAAGATATGCACTGTGCTGAATCACGACCTAGTACATTCTAATATGCCTCATTAAAATATGGCATGCGCTAGAAAAACTTAAACTTCAGTTCAAACCTTTTACACTAAAATTCCAGTACATACACTGAATCCCATGCAGGTTTCCGTTGTTGGGTAAGCTAGTACAAAAATATTTTCTTACTTGATCAAGATAAAAGCCTCCACACTACTGTTAATTTCTTAAGTCCGAATTTGTTATCTGTATTTCACCCCTTGATTCTCTATACATACAAACTATGCATTATACAAAAGTTCATTTTTGTTCATGTTTTTCTGTGCTTATATTTCAAATTTAAACTTTATACATATACATTATAATCCTTTTTTCCTCATTTTATTAGCCGAGTGACCATATTATATTTTCATGAAATCATTATATTTGCTTTGAAGTAAAAAAACACTAATTAGAATTCACTTGAGAACCTAATGGCTATGAGCCTTTGCTGGCCTAAGTTGTTCAGAAACGAAGTTTGTGAATCACATTATTGTTTAAAGTAAACCAGGTACTGTGACAGCTATTATTCCGCTTGTAGCATAAGACAACCCAACAACCCCGATCAGCACGAAGACTCATCTCATACAAAGCATATTCAGTCCCACTCTATGCTACCATGTCAGACATAATCGCTCACGCCAAACCAGCAAATAAAATTAATAACAATAGACATAAGACGTCTGTGAAGGGCAGCAGGAGTGACCATAAGAAGTAAAATCAGAAATGAGATCATAAGAGAGAAAGCCATCGGCACAGAATTAACTCTGACATACACATACAGTAAATCAAATGGTCTGTCCATTTAAAGAGATTGCTTTGAGATACGATACTAGACAAGGTATACAAAAAAAAAAGAGGAAAATGGTGCAAAGTGCAAGGCGCACTAGGAACAAGTTGAAAGGATAGCATCGAGAAACTCTACAACAGCACTATATGCCTATGTTTTAGACAACCCGAAGAGCAAAAAGCAGAACCTCAAACCCGCAGCGGTAAAAGGAGAGAGGAAGAAGAGATAAAAATACGATTCTTGTTTGTTTCAAGATATCAGTAATGTGAATACGAACCTCTGGACACTCAGAGTAGAAACAATTTACTATCAGAATACACTAAAGACTTAACATCCACATATTAGGCCAGTACAAGTGTTCTAATATTCACGAACGCCATTAGCTCATTCTTATTTCTATGTTGCTGTATTCAATTAGGAAAGCAGTCAAGGCAACTGTGGTACTAGTTCCTCTCCTAGGATTGACCTATGTGATGTTCCTCAGATCACCGTTTGATGACGAAACCGTCAACATTCTGTTCCAACACGCTAACGCCGTATTACAGTCGTCCCAGGTACATCATTTTATCATAAAGGTTCATTTTCCACACTTTTGGATCTATTAGGCTTTGAGGGACAGACCTATATTTTATAGACCTATCGACACTTGTTGGGTGATGTGGTCAGCATCACCCCGACCGCCTTTACTCACCAGGACTGTACCTGGTACCCACGCAATGCTGGGTCTACCTTAGAGTCAATGTTAATTTTGAAAGAAATGTCAGGCTCCGTCAGGACCCGAAATCACGACCACCTGCTCCGTAGGTGAGCATCTAGCCGCTACACCACGGTGACTCCCCATTTTGTCATGGGTAGTACAAAAACATACTTATTTGTGCATCCTTTACAGGACATCGTAGAATCAGTATGTTTTTGTGCTTTTAATATTCTGTTTTACCTACAGGAAACCCTTTTGTCAGAAGAAGGGTCCATTTGAGAAAATAGTTATACATTATTCTGGAAAAACAGAGGCCAGGAAGAAATCTAGATGTATGGCGAGGGATTTGCAGTAACGAATTCACTGTTGGGATCAGTTGAGAGTCCAACTAGAGGCAGTCACAGAATATTATCTCTACGACTGTCTACCTCAAGCGGTTTTATCACCCTTGTTACTGCATATGCACCCACTCTAACGTCAATGGTCCTGCAATCCCATGCTATCAATGTGGAAGACTTTTCTTGACACAGGCGGGTCTTGCTAGTCACACGCGCCATCGTCATGGGCTGTGAGTCCCATGCCTCCTCATAGCGCAATATAACACTATCGTCTGGGAAGACGGAAAGGTGCAAAAATCACTAGGCAGTTTTACGTTCGGGTAGTTTATGATTGTCCCCTAAACGGTCCACTCTCGACACTATTGTGGAAATTAATGCAAAGCGGCCTGTTGCCAAATTGTTCTCCGCTGAAATAAAACCAGTTATCTCAGAATAACAAATCGTATTCGCAACTCCTAAGCCACAGACGCAGAAGTCTATTATAACTCAGAGGACGATGGGTAGACGTTGCTAGTCCCATACTCTTAATCTTCTTCTTCCTAACAGCTGCCGGCTGTAATCTTCAGCTCAATAGTTTATTCGTCGAATCCTGGACTTTTGTCTTGTTTCGGAACTTGAATTATGCACGTACATCGGAGTTAACAGTTCTTGCTTATGTGTATGCAGGCTGTTGGTTTCATGCCGCTAAGGCAGATGTTCTCCAGCTTAAAGGTAAAACAATGGCCAATGGGAATGTGGTAGGTGATGTGGTAAAAAATAAAACGTGGTTACCTTTACTACTCAGTCTATTTCTTTCATTTTCTGTATGGCCATTTTAGAGATGATCAGCCTAGATAAAAACAGTGAAAGATAAAGATCCGTTTCAGACCATTGCGCAAACAGAGCTAGAGATATATTGGAACAGACTGACTGGCACCTAAAGATTAGGTAGTCAGCATCACGACAACGGTTTTTGTATAACAGAACATTCCTCAGCACCCAGACAAGGCAGATATCATCCACTCTGTACGGATTAGGCTGGTGGGTAGCGACGAATCTCTGCTTGACTCGGTAGAAAAGCATGGTTACGCACGTCTATGCCGTCTTTGAGCCCCAGATAGGAGATGTTATAACACACTCCTCAGTCGAACAATCAGTAGGGGTACCTTGGAGTTGGTGCTGCGTCGGAGGACTGAACAAGCCTGGAAAATGTCCAAAGTACATTGACGTCGATTACAATAAGATAACATAACATTACCAGTACCCAATTAAGGCTGGGTCGACCTTGTAGCTGTAGGCCAATTAAAAAATCTACCCCTGAAAAAAACAAGAATCATGCAACGCTACAGCATCTACAACGTTCCCCAGAAGTGTCAGTTAATACTTTTTTATGTATTTTTCGCAAAAAGTGTGTGTTTGATAATTTTTTTTAAAATTTTCTTTTAACTTTTATAACTTAAAATATATATATATATATATATACTTAATTGCACACCCTGACACCGATTCATTGTTTATTATTGCAGGGTCTTTTTGTTGCAATATTTTACTGTTTTCTTAACGGAGAGGTAAGTAACAAAACCATTTGTCTGATCAACTGTTGGCTTTTTTTAAAAATGGGTTAACATCGTAATTCAATGCGCAAATAACAATAAATGCAGATGTCGAATTAAGACACATAAAAATCTCAGTCAACGCTCTGAAACATCCAACCAAACCGTCAGTCAGCCTGCTGACTGCTGGTGCTCTGAAAAATGATTTGTTTCTAGCTAGGCTTTTTGTTTATTCACATTCTCCTGTTTTAAACTGGGAGTCCAGAGATTCCGTCGCCCAACTGCTGAGATGAGTGATTGCTGCTACACTGTTAGCTATGTATTTCCTGTGAAATGTTGCTGTTTTTTCGCTGTTGACCGCATAAAAATGGCGAATGACCGATTACGTTCAGAATGTCGTGCACTTCTGCGGATGCCTAGCCGGCTTTCGTCATTGCTTGTTGGTGGCACCAGATAGCCACAGTTGTGACATGGGACTTTAGTGTTGGCACATCTGAAAGCTGCTTCTTGCATTTTTACTTTGCGTGTGCAAGCTTCAAAATTTTGTCACGTCTGACAGGTTTTTTACTAGTTTTAAATGGGACAACCCAGGACGCTTTGTGTGATTTCCACTGCCACATGAAATGTAACAGTTACGGGAAGACCCGTCTAAAGCGATTTTAGAACCACGACTAACGGTTACGACTTCGAAATTAAAACTTTGTTTATATTTGTGAAATACAACTGACAGCATCTATATGTGAGACAATATACTGTGCAATATTTAGTTTGTGTACTTCTTCTTTGTCGGCTCTGTGGCTTAGTCGAAGCGAACGCTTCGTAATGCCGGGGTGCCGGGTTCGATTCCAGCTGCGGGCAATGCGCCTTGCTTTGGTTTCGACAGTGGTATCAAGGGGGCCGACCGTCTAGGAAAAATGGCAAACTACTGTACGCAAATTTACCCAACCACACAACAGCTAGGGGCTGCTGGGGTTGGTTCTGCAACGTCCTGTTAAGGATACGCAACCTACTTTTAACTTCTTTTTTATAACGTTCACCGTCTGTAAACTCCTGTAAAAGGTTCTGGTTGTTCTTCCACTTCTGAACGTTGGTCTTATTCCAGAATGTGAGTTTTATGTGTACATCCTTTTTATAGATCTCGCTTAGTTGTATGCAGACTATTGGTTTGCTTGCCTTTCAAGGAGGGACACTCCGACTTCAAAGAAAACATCAAATTAATCGCCTATAAGGACATGCTTCTTACAGGGGCATTTAGGCCCCTGAACCTATACCGAGGGTGTTATAAATATTATTGAAATTAGAACATGTATTAGGGCTATTTTATTTGCAAGATGCTCATTTATTCATTAATAGTTACAATCATAAATTTATGAACTTGGAGACTCTTTAGCACGAACCCACATTCCCCTACCCCCCCCCCCCCCCCGCCCCTTCACCCTGAGAGAAACAAAAAATGCGGAAGGGAAAGGCAAGGCGATTTTGTAACAATGTAGAATGTTCTCTTTTTTAATTACTTGTGTCTACATATTATATTATTTTAAACTGTATTTTCGTTGTTTTTATTTGCAATTAAACACATTATTATTATTATTATTATTATTATTATTATTATTATTATTATTATTATCATCATCATCATCATCACTTATTTTAACCAAGCGTAGAACAATCATGAAATTGGTATGCCATCTCCCTCCCCACTCCCCCCCCCCCTTTTCGACCCACACACCAATTATTGTAGCGTCGCCCCTGACTACACTTTACTTTTGATGTATAGACTGCATGTGAACTATACTACAAAGGGAAAGTGCAGTTATTATTATTATTATCATTATTATTATTATTATTAATATTATTATTATTACTATTATTATTATTACTACTACAACTATTACTACTGCTACTACCAGGTCAGGTCAGTTCTTCGACAGAAGTTGAATTCCCTTCAAGACAGTCGCAGCCTGAGCAGATACACAAAAACCACCATCTATGGCAGTCCCCGTCGGTCAAGTAGCTACACTGCCAACGGAAATGGGAAAATTGGCGTCTTTAAAGGAGGAACACTGATGAAAATAACTCACGTAGGAGAGCTAGAGACTGAGGCCTCGGTGATGATGATGGACAAGATTGAACACACAGTCGAAGTTTCAGCAGCATGAAACGATATAAAATGGCTGTTTCTGGTTAATTGTATTGTGTTTATTCCACGTCAGAATATACACGTGTGTCCATTCAGTTTTGTGGAAATATATTTCTAACTGAAGAACCAACTGGGACAGCATCTGCAGGTGGGTTCATGTAAAATTCTAAGATCTTGCATCTTTTAAGTGACAACTTTTGGTTGTGGGTCACAGACTCTTACTCAGTCATCAGCATCATCTCATCTTGATCCTCTGGTACCTTGCAGCGTGGAAGTGAAGTAAAATATATGGAAAAGCGGTTTATGTGCTTTGTAGATTCAGATTTCCATGGCCTCAGTGATTCCCTCTGCCCATCGCTTGCATGGTCGGTCACTTCTTCGCTTTCTGCCTTGTCTGTACATCATTACTTGCTGTGGTATATAGTCTGCGTCTATCCGCGTTATATGGCCAAACCATTTTATATGTTTTCCTCTTATAAAATCTACAGCTGCTGCTACTCACATTGTCCTTCGGATTTCATCGTCTCTAATCTTTTCTCCTCTTGTTATATTGAGAGACCTTCGCATGAATCTAATTGCAGTTATAATTTTACTCTTCTCTGTTTCTGTCATTGTGCAGGTGTGGCATTGATAAAATAGGGTTGGCAAGAGTCCTTTGACATTCTCATGTTCGTTGCCTTATAAATCAGTCTGTTTATACTTCCTTCTGTTTCTTTGAGCGGTGAAAGTATCTCCTGCCAGTTTGCTGAGCCAGTCGCAAATAAGGACAAAGAACCCTACCTTGGTGAGCCAGTCTCTAGTTGGCTCATGACATCGCGGTCATGATTTCCCAGTCTACAACACTTGGAGGTGAGGTTGGTGTGTGCGGTCCTTGGATATCAGCAACTACTAATTTTCGCACCTCGAGAGAGAGAGACTAGCCGATGCCAACTCTTCCGACTGCAGGGCCAAGCTCAATCCAGGATCTGTTTGAAACTAAACTCTCTTTGAGTCTTTCATTGTAAATGTTACCGTATCTGATTGTTGTACTAGTTACAACGTACTAATGTTTATTGTAAAAGTGTCAATACATGGACTGATTAGGATGTAAATAGTCTCATTGCTGTTACATTTAACTACATATCTGTTAAATTTATAATTTTTTTTTCTTGTTTATGTATATACATATATGTGTGTGTGTGTGTGTGTGTGTAGATAGGTGCAGAGAGAAGGGGAGAGGGAAAGCGAGAGAGAGATAGACAGGGAGAGAGAGAGAGAGAGAGAGAGAGAGAGAGAGAGAGAGAGAGAGAGAGAGAGAGCAATCGCTTCGAATTTAAAGTGCAATGTTTTTTAGAGAGTTGAAAATATTGTAGACACAGAAAATGATTAATTCTTTTCACAGTAGTAGTCGCCCGGCTCTCTAGCGTAGTTGGCTAAACCGGATTTCGCGGAGACCGGGTGACGTACTCCTTGTGGTCCGGGTTCAATCCCGGGGGTAGGCAGGAAAGCCACATTTTCTCCCAGATTTACGGTATTTACAATGGAATCAAGGCCGAAGGGGTGCGATATCCATAATACCGAGCCTAAGGGTTAACAACTCATGGCTTCTGGATACTAAAACAAACAAACAACACAGTAGTAGTCGCTGCGAGTTTAATTTTTAATATCAACTTTCCTTCTAGCCGTCCCTTTGTGGGATGCAATTTTTCGTTTTTTTGAAGCCTTATCCTGGCTTTTGCCTCGGGCCCTGAATATATCACCCCCACATAACAGCTAAAAGGGGTTTCTGGGACCTCTTTACTGGTGATAATCATCCGCATGGTGGCACTTTGTGTCACCAGATGGTAATCGCTTCTGTGATGTCCTGTTGGGGTACAAGCAAGCAGCAATTCGAAATATGAGTTGAAACTTGTTGGGGGAGACAATAATAACAGGGCACCACAGCAACCGGCGAAACTGAAATTGTATCTTCTGGGTGAATATACTTATCAGGTTTTTTTAAGGGGGAAAAAAGGTTGCCAGTATTCAAATTCAAAACACAATGTCTAAAACTACTGCCTGACTGACTTTCTACCCCACCAGGACATCACACAAGCGATAAACACCCGAAGACACAAGGTGCCACCATGCGGATGAGGATCACTGTGGAGAGGTCCCAGAAACCGCGTTCAGTCAACTGGCCATGTTGATGGCCTGCCTATATTACGGCCCCTGGCAAAAGCCAGAGTGGGGCTTCAAAAAACAAAAAAATTACGTCCTGAAAAGGACGTAAAGGCATTGGTCTTATGCACACACAAAAACTACTGCCGATTCTCACCACAAAGTGTATATTACACTAGTGTTGAAAATATGATGCTTACAAACGCTACTGCCTACTGCGGCATACTTCCCAAAGATATACTAAAGATGGGATCAGCGCGCTTATAGACTCGTCCGATGTGCAGTGAGGATAATCGGTCGATTAACTAACTAACTACAGCGTGGATCCACTGTCATCTCATCAGGAAGAGTATACAAACCTGGTCGTGTTTTATTAAATCATCAGACACGGAATAGAAGACAACCAATTCTGTACGAGATAGAGATGGTGACAGCCACAATATTTAAGACATGGTTTACTGTATTGTGGTGAGTAGTTTTTTTTTTTTTTTGCCTCGATGCCAAGATTTGCTCATAAAAAATAAAATTACGATGAGAAATATCTCTCCTTGCTACTTGAAACTTAGCCCTAACAGCTAATTACTCTATTTAATGCAACATGCTGGCTTCTGTTGCGTAATACTCAGAACAACACAAACTGCGATTAGACAGTTAAACGGGGGGGGGGGGGGGTGGGGGGGGGGGTTTTAAAAGAGCGCTCACAAATTCAAATGGAAATTTCTACCTTATGCTGTCTAAATAGTGCACTAACAACAATACCAACTGTGACTAGGAAACTCAACGGACAGAATAACAAAGATTACTAACAACAAAGGTCAACAGGGCAAGGAAACCCGTCTTATCTGACAGACATGTTTTATTTTTTCTTCACTCCCTCTGTTGAGCTTTCTAGTCAAAGTTTCTGTATATTAAGTACTTCTTGTTTATCAGCTCGACTGTAGTCACTCTATTTAACTGTATGGCTTCTTTTTATAACATTAAAAAAATGGAATTAGAACACGAATACATTGATGTTATGATGTTTTTATTAAACACTAAATACTTGTTTCAGATCTAACAAAAACAACAAATTAACAGATGTAGTCGAGATAACTATGGGACGTGGGGTGGGGGTGGAGGGGGGGGGGGGGGGTGTGCCACAGAACGATAAGAATATTAAATATAACTAAACAGTTCTATAGAGAACACAAGTCCGAAAGATCTGTTTGGTCAGAATCTTTCAGTGAACCCTCGTATAACGTCACACCATTTAACTGAGAATGGTAATGGAGGTAGTAACATAGCTTTTCAGTAGTTGGAGGATAAAACAGTCAGACAAGTGTTACGTGTAACAGAATGACAGAACATGACTGGGAAAATAGAAATAACATGTACAGAGAAGCATGTACAGCAGGAGCCTACCAATCATTAGTAGAAGTGATCCCTCGTCCACAATGCTCTAGGCCCACGAGCTCATAGACAATTTCAGAGGGTGGGCTCAACTGAGTTCATGAGGTTCACGCTTGATCTGCTCCAGCTGTACGTATTACCGGATGTTCTCGGACAGGGACAAAACGAAAATGGTGACTATGCAACGGTTACTGTGAGATTCGAAGTTTATTTACACAGTCGCTGCGGTAGCCTATTAGATCAGTCAGCATACCTTGATGGCCAAGTGACAATTACGGTTGGTTTATCGGACACATGTTAGACTTTGTTGGCAATTGGCAGAGGGACACCGGCAGACAATTCAGACACGATGGGCTTAAGGGATAAGGCTTTCCTTTCCACTAAATACCCCAACCTGCCTATTAAGGACCATCCCCCATGACGTTCCGTTGTGTCCAAAATATACTCGACAATAAAGTAAGGGATCCTATACCACGCTTTTGGGCGTCTTGATATAAGATATTAGATTTATATTCTGTAGACCAAGAAGGCTCCTAAATTGTCAAACAAAGCATGCATATTAAAAGAAGGCAAAGTTATTGCATTGTCCGATTCGACAATTGCCTTAACCAGGCAATCGGGAGCAGCTTTTCGGGAATTTACGGTTTGCTGGGATGTAGGAACAGATGAGCGCGCGATACAATGCAAGCAACAGAACTCACACACTTCAGTAACTCTGCTGGAGACGGCTACAATACTGTTGAATTAAGACACGCAGTATTTGAGACTTGGTACACCTTTAGGTACAAATATGTTTTCCTATAATTCAAAGTTGTCTTCTCTCATCTTATGATCTCGGTGCTGATTCTCAAATATTTCTGTTACATTCTTGATTCTTGAATGTGAGATATTGTAGAAATTTCATGGCTGACATCCGCAAAGAGTAGCTCGTTGAAATTACTCATATTTTCATTCTTGAAAATGTTGTTTATACTGCCGAAACAGGGGATACACAGAAGAGACGATAAAGCACAAACATGTCTACTCCAGATGTTACTGTCAATGATTATTATCATCTTTGGTTAATTCTAACTATGTGTCTACAATTGTTCCACAAATTGTTCACAGTTCACTAAGCTATTAATTATTCTGCATATCTGCATCGACTGTTTTCTCCTTGTTTATGAATTAGAAAAAAAAAGCTCTTTTATATTCGATATCCTTTTATATTAACTGTCTGAAAAAGGAAGATTATGATAGCATAGCTTTTATTTCTTTTAAGTCTCATCTATTCTTGCGAAGCTGCGGGGAATTCCTGGTCTAAGCCTCTTTATACTATTTCGAGATATATTTGACCTGCATGACTTAGAGGTACGAAAGCTCTGTACTGGGTGTACTATCATCCACATTATTTCAGAGGTCCCGGGTAGCAAGAGTCCTTTGGATATTTTCTCCAGGTTATGCTGGTGTGTTCGGAAATGTGCAGGCAACAACAACAAAAACTGGCCGGTTCTGCACCACTTGGTGGTGAATTGAAGTATAATAAGCTAAACAAGGGCCCTTTGGAGGCGAGTGAACAGTGCGGATGCACAGACAGATCAAGCCGGGAAAAATGTACAGTCAGACAGTTACTGGTGCCATCAGAATTGGAACTCTTTGCTTGCTGCTGAAGATGGGACAGAGCGCTTATGGTAGTGTCCTGAGTGCTATGATGTCGATTCTCAATTTAAAATTCAACATTCAATAGTCATCCAGTGTGTAGAATTCTTTGAACAATTAGTTGCCACTTCAACATATGTGTTCATCATGTCTGTAGCCGACATGTGTCAGCTGTTACCTTCAACTTCAAGGCAGAGCTATTTCTCTCGCAGCTGATAACTGGCTCAAGCATCTCCCACTTCATGATGTATGTTCATCTTGTAGGTGACAAATTCCAACATATAGTCGTCACTTGCATTTTTCTATTACCAAGTGGTCAACAACCTCAAACCTAAATGACTTCAATTATCTAACTACAATGCAGACCGCTAAAGGCGTTCTTAGATGTGACGATATTCTACTGTGAAGAACAATTTATTATTTCTCAGCAATAACCATAAGCTTGAATTCTTATCCGGATAAGATGAATTTATGAATAGAAGAACGATTTCTCGTGTCTCTAGAGGGTTCTCCTTAATCAGGTCTACACTGTATTCAGCAAACATGCAGAGATGGACTGTGTGAGCCTAAACGCGTTTATAACAACGTCTAATCCACCTCGCCTTCTCTGAGCCCCACGCGCCCTCTACTGGGCACACGGCACAGACAGTAGCGAAAGGTCCATAAGTAAAGTGGTTATAAGGGCAAGACTCACATATCGTCCCTTCGACATACACAGTGTCTTCAGGGCATCCTCTACAGGACGCGATTCCATGAATAGCAAGGTTAGTTCCTGTTGTATAATTATGCATATCGCATGATGCTGTCCAAGCAGCTACATCTACGTGCACTAGTTGCAAACCTTGAACACCCCACAGCTTTTCAGTCCCGCCAATTCCTTGGTCTATAGCAAAACTAATATTTCGTATTTGCTGGAGAATTTGAAGATAAATATCAGTAGAGATTTTCTCTTCGTATTTTGCATATATTTTAAAAGATGCATCCAGTTGGTTAGCCCCACCTTTCTGTATGAAATTATAATTGCGCGTACATTCTACTTTAGGAAATGTGTAATTGCAGGAGACGAGCGTCCCACAAAGCCTCAAGTTTGTGTTTTGAAGTTGTGCGAAGTTCATTAGAACATTGCTGGCGTACGCCTCACCACATTCATCGGTTGTATACGTAAGCCTAACAGGCATGTAGACTAGAGAGGGTTTCCTGTATTCCAAACAATCAGGGCTATATTCTTCTGGCAGCTCCGTTAATGCTTGCTCTTTCGGGTCACAAATCAAAACTCCGCCATCGCCCAGAGTGTTCACGGGGAGGTCAGTGTTTCGGTTCAAACATGTTATTCTCATTATAAATGATCCGGTGATTTTCAATTTTCCATGGAGAGGTAGATTCGGCATGCTGATACAGGAGTTAGGAAAAGCTTCTACGAGCTGTGTGGTCCAGATCACAAAAGATGTTACACCTACTACCAATAAACGAATACACAAAGCCATAACTTACATTGAAAAAATCAATTCTACTGAATTTCTTAACATATCAGAAGACCTGATTTTGCACAGAGCAGACGGTGATTCGACGTCACTAGTAATGGCTGTGTTTTATCTCGGTGCGACTGTGTTCAGTGCTGACTTACTTGTCTTGTCTTGTCTTGTCTTGTCTACAATTGCCTCACAGCGTAGTGGGGAGTCGCAGTTTTCTATCCTGGGCCAGGTGTGTTGCACGTGTTGTTGTTAGTCCGTGTCGCCTCAGGATCTCTGATATATTGTCTATCCATCGTACTCTCGGTCTGCCTCTTGCTCTAGGGCAGTAGTGCTGTTCGTGCTGACTTACTGGAACTGGCAAATATGGAATTGAGGGAAATGAGTCAAACACAAAGAAATTGACAATGTTTGAAAAGAAACCAAACAAAGGCAGAACCAATAATAATAAAAAATAAATGCATGTAATTATCTAATCAACAGTGACTTGACATCAAGAAATAAACAAACATGACAATGGGCATGCTGGTGTGTTTGGAAACGAGCAGGCGGATGGACTCGCTGGTTCTGCACCACTTGGGGATGAATTGATGTATGACAAGCTAGATGTTGTGAGGGGTCTTTGAGAGCCAATGAACAATGCACAAAAAGGTCATTACCGCCCGAGGAAAATGGGGCAGCGAGGAGTTACCAGGGGACCTAGCCGACGCTCAAGACTCAATGGTAAGGCGAGACAGATGTAAAATCAAATAGTTACTGGTACCATCGGAATTGAAACTCTTCGCTTATGCTGAAGATGGGGGTGAAACGCTTACGTGAGTGTCCGAGTGCTATGATGTCGATTCCTAATTTAACATTCAAACACTAAAATACAAACTGAGCATGGCTCAACTGCAACATCATGTGGCGTCTTTTATCCGTCACTTAGGGCTCACCGTCTGCATCTACATTGTTCTTCTATCCCCGGCATCATGAACGGAATCCAGTCCAGCACCTTTGACCTCCACAATAATATTCGTTCGCTCGTTCGTTCTGTTATCGAAGTTCGTCTTAGAGCTTCGCTTTGACTTAATCTTCTCCCTTATTCAGTTAGTCTTCGGTTGACCTTTCGGTTAGCCAACTAAAGCGTTTCAAGTAAAATGTTTAACAATAAATGTACGCAATAAAAGAATATTATCCAAACTGCAGATCGCAACGGCCTATTTTTTAACTTTAAAAAAGTTTTTAAAAGTTCATACTCATATTAGGAACCAGGAAACAACACCACAAAGAATGGATAAGTAGTCAAACCATGGACTATATTGCCAAGCGAAAGAGAATAAAGAGCTTCATAAATCACACTAAATCAGAACGTCAGAAAGACGAACTAATGTTAGAATATAGCGAACTAAATAAAATGACCAAGAAAAGTGCCAGAGCTGACAAGAGAAGATTTATGGACAATCTTGCAGAAACAGCAGAAAATGCTGCTAAAGCTCATGATCTACAAACCCTACACAAAACTACCCAGCAAATTTGCGGAAACAGAAACAATTATCACAGCATACCCATCAGAGATAACCAAGGCAGACTGCTCACCACAGAACAAAAACAAGACATGCAGTGGACTAAACACTTCTCCGACCTCTTGAACAGACCTTATCCTGAAAATCCCCCAGATATTCAACCAGCCTCTCAGGACATTGACATTATTACTGAACCACCAAGCAAACAAGAAATCATTAAAGCTATCCACACTTTAAAGAACAACAAAGCATCAGGCAAAGACGAACTGCCAGCAGAACTTCTCAAAGTAGATCCCAACACAACAGCTAGCATTCTAGAACCATTGTTCAAGGATATTTGGGAAAAAGAAGTGTTGCCTGATGACTGGACTGAAGGAACAATAGTCAAAATCCCCAAAAAAGGAGACTTAACAGACTGCAATAATTGGAGGGGAATTACTCAACTCTCAGTACCAAGCAAAATATTTTGGAAAATCATCATAATGCGGCTTGAAAAAGGAGTAGATAAATGCCTACGAGTGGAACAAGCAGGATTCAGAAAGGGCAGAGGAACAACTGAGTACATCTTCGCCATACGTAACATTTTAGAACAATGCAACAAATGGCAGAGAAGTAAATATATTAATTTTGTGGACTTTGAGAAAGCTTTTGACAGCGTCCATAGAGACGGTCTGTGGAAAATTTTACGACATTATGGAATTCCAGAAAAAATAGTCAACATAATTGCTCTCTTTTATCAAGACTTTTCCTGCAGTATAAAAAATTACAATACATCTTTCCCAATAAAGACGGGTGTAAGACAGGGATGTGTTATGTCATCTCTCCTCTTCAACCTTGTGATTGATTGGATACGAAATAACACAGTAGACAGGACATTGAGAAGCATACGATGGACTCCATTCACCATGCTTCAGGACCTTGATTTTGCAGATGATATAGCACTCCTATCACATAAACATGAACAAATACAAAAGAAAAGAACAGACTAAACTGTACAGCAGAAATGGTGGGACTGAGAATAAATACAAAGAAAACTAAGATCATGACAAACAGTCCAAACCAACACCCAGTGACCTTAGGTAACCAATCACTTGAAAATGTAGAACATTTCACATATCTTGGCAGTGTGGTGTCCCTACTAGAAGGGACAGAGCAAGACATACAGTCACGTCTGAACAAAGTTAGAGCTGCTTTTGGGAGGATGAAGAAAATCTGGAAATCCAACAATTACAGCAGAGGAACGAAACTCCGACTCTACAAGAGCATCATTTTGCCAGTTCTTCTTTATGGAGCGGAATGCTGGAGAATGACCAAAAAGGATGCACACAAGCTGTCCACCTTCCACCACACATGTCTACGTAGAATTATCACAATTTTCTGGCCAGATACAATCTCAAACACTAAACTACTTCAAGCCACAAACCAAAAAACTTTAGACAGTATGATTACCAAGAAAAGATGGAAATGGCTTGGCCACGTTATGAGAATGACTTCTGATATACCTGCCAAAACAGCTCTCACATGGACACCAGAGGGAAAGAGAAAAAAGGGGCGCCCAAAAACAACATGGAGACGATCGATGGAAAGTGACCTGAGTGCGGCATCTTTGACATGGAAAACTGCACTAAAGATTGCATAGGACAGGAAAGCATGGAAAGTCCTCTCTAAAGCCTCATGTGCCACAAGGCATAACAAGAACTGATGATGATACTCAAGTATGAGCGCCAAGAAACAGATTATAAACAGCATATTCATAACAACACTATACTACCATTGCCAGACTTGGACATTATCGAAGGCTAACCTAATTAGAATTAACATCTGCGAAAAGAGATACCTGAGAAAAGCGCAAGCTTAACCATACGAGACAAAAGTATCAGACAGACCGTAAGAACAACACCACGCAGCAAATTAATCAATAAACAGAAGATCATTGGGTTGGTCATTTAGTAAGAATGCAGCCAGAACAACTATCGAAAGAAAAAACATGAAAAGATTCGAAGTGAACGTAAGAGGGGAATATTAATTACTAATAACATTAACGAGCTTCAATGTTGACATGGAATGATGATAGTCAGTGCTGTCCATTAAGCAATGAGTTGCAAACTGTTCCTCCCCACAACGTTTAACGGAAGAAGTGAAAACTGATGATGATCACGTAGCAGGTCCAGTGTAGAAGGTTGCTCGCATGATATTCTGCCTAAAAGAAACGGTCTCTCGCCAACACTTTCGTTTCGTGAACTTTCATATCCAAGGAGTCACTTACATTCTGTACCCATCTTCCTGTTGGCAGGTCCCTGTACCTCCTCCTTCCTGGTACCATGTCCTCCGCTACTAATGTTTTCTACAGTCCACCATGTTGCTTGATATGGCCATATTATTTCAGCTTCCGCCGAGAGAAGATGCTGTTTATTAGCCAATATCATCATCATTATCATCATCAAGTGCCTTGTAGACTGGCGTGGGCGATCATGCCTCTCCTCAATCTGCAATCCACAAATGCGTGTATCAGTTATAGTAGTGACACCCCTCCATGACATTATAAAAGACTGTCAAGAATTGTCTTGTGCTATCTTCCTTTGTCTCTTTTTCAGAGATCTTTTCGGTGGTCACAACATGTTCCAGTTTTCCTTTACCCATAACGAGACCCCACAAAAATGATAACTGTCTCTTTCTGATGTTTGTGATAAGTTGTCTTTGAGTCCTAGTTACATTCACAGCATCTGGGTTGCTCTTTTTAGCTGTCCAAAGAATTCTCAGGATTATTCTGTGAAACCACATCTTCAAATTCTCAAGAAATTGTTCGGACGGTTAATGATTCGTCCAGAATTCACAGCTGTATGCTAAAACTGGCAGCGAGAATCTTTTTCCTGACCTCCAATTTCTTTCTTTCCTTTCTTTTGTCGTCTCAATGATATCAGGTTGTAGCCCAGTGTCGTGGTTTTCTGTATTTGTCTCGCGCTTCTATTTCTTTGTTTTCCTCTCAGGTGTTCTGCTATAAAACGTCCCATATTTAGTTTGGCCTGGCTGCATTCTCACTAGATGGCCGAACCATTTCATCATTTGTCTGTCAATATAATCCAGATATGGTCTTGTTTCCAACTTTCTCTCTAATGCTGGTTTTGTAGCCCTGTCTCTTCTTGTCTTGTTAGTGATCTTGTGTAGACAACGCATTTCACATATGGTTATTATCTTTTATAATGCCCTATTCATTGTCCATATTTGGCACTGATAATTAAATCAGGGATAACGATGTTATTAGTCATTTGCTGTTTTGCTTGAAGTGAGACATTTGGGTGTCTGAGCAGTGGGGCTAATTGGTAGGTGACAGATTTGCCTTCTGTACTCTGGCTTCTATCTCTCTGGGCGAACCATTTGCTGAAGTAATCTAGGACAGAGACGCTAGTTCTTCATGTCATACTTACAACACACACAAATACACTACGGGGGAAAAAAGATAAACTTAAATGTAGACGTAAAGTAGTACAGTCGAGTCTGGGTAAGTAGAAGTCGCAGGGACCTAAGAAAATGTTTCCACTTATCAGGACTTCTACTTATCCAGACAGCACACACAACAGAGAAAATTGCCGGGACTAAGCTGGCCATGTCGACTTTACCGAAATTCGACTTATCCAAGTTCGACTTAAGTGGACTCGACTGTAATACACTGATGGATTCTCCTTCGTTATCGTATTCTTCTTTGGTCTACTTCTTCTTCTTCTGCGAAGCCTTGAGGTTCATTGCTGCAGATACCACCCATCTCCGATCATCCTTTCAACAAGCGACACAAATAATCCACACGCAATGAGGAGGTTAAAACGAAACGAAGTCCTGTAAATCGAAGGCATGATAGAAATACTCTCTCGTAGTTTTCAATCAGTTAAACTATGGTGCCCAACTGTGACAAAGGTAAACTAATGGATCCGTCTGTATTCACATCTCGAAACAAACTAGGAATATGGTGCTAGTCATATACTTGCTATAAACCAATCGACAACTCATGTGTAATATTTTCAAGATATTCCAGACCACCTTTACTTTACAGATAAATACTTCTACACAGTAAAGGCTAGATCGACCTGAAAGTGCAGGTCTCTATAAAACAGTCAGTCACAGCGAGGATTCCAACACCAGATAATAGTCACTGCACGGATGAAGAGCTACTTTTTAATGATGATTTGTGTTCCCCTCTTCCCTTTAGTTCCATCAGTGTCTAATGTTTGTTTATTATTGTACTTGGTATGTTGTTAGTATACAGTGGGGGAGAACAATGATTTTTTTGTTTGTGTCCCAAGGGAATGGGATGGAAAGCAAGAGGGACTCTATTTTTTTCCCGTTCTCTCTCTCTCTCTCTCTCTCTCTCTCTCTCTCTCTCTCTCTCTCTCTCTCTCTCTCTCTCTCTCTCTCTCTCTCTCTCTCTCTTAATATAAAATCTAATGGGTGAAGATCCTTTATTGCCAAACTAAAACTTTTGACGAAACTATTGCAAATATTATTGGCTGACTTTCTACCCCACCAGGACACAACACTGAGCGATAAACACCCGGTGACACAATGTGCGACCACTCGAATGAGAATCACCCGTGGAGAGGTCCCAGAAACCCCCATTAGATTAATTTGGTCCTAAAAAGGACGAAACTGGATAGTTAAAATAGGAGCGGATATTAATTATTAGCAAATGTGGTCTGACTGACTGACTTTCTACCCCACTAGGACATCACACAAGCGATAAACACCCGATGATACAAAGTGCCACCATGCGGTTGAGGATCACCGTAGAGAGGTCCCAGAATCCGCGTTCAGACAATTGGCCATTTGATGGCCTGCCTATATTACGGCCCCTGGCCAGAGTTGGGCTTCAAATAAGAAAAAATTACGTCCTGAAAAGGACGTAAGTAAGGAATATTGCTAATAGAAATAGCAAATGTGGCTTTTTTGGCAAAACTTTTAACGGTAAAAAAAAACCTTGCCCCTTTATGGAACGCAATTTTTCGTTATTGTAACGCCCAACTCCGGCTGTAGACGGGCGCCCTAAAATAACCTAAAGGTTGAACAGGATTTCTGGACTTGTACCAGGGTAAATACTCATTAGAATGGTGGCATTTTGTGTCACCGGCTGTTGGTCACTGGCTGCACGGTGCTGCTGGGGTTGAACTTCATTCATCAATTTCAAACGGCAACACAAAGGGACACAATTTATTGTAAGTTACCAATGATGCCGATCCTAGGGGACGTAATCCATTCTTTGTGTAGGTTTGTATAATAATATTCTTCACTACTTAATATTGTTTGAGGTTAGGGTTAGATCTACTAACCCATACCCTAAACATTTATTAATATTACAGAACATTATTATGCAAACGTATATAATATATCTAGGTCACTGAAGGGTAGAAAACATTCGTGCTTGCTACATACATCCAGTTTTAATATATGGCTGTGAGTCCTGGACAATCGGTAGGCAGCCCAGACAATTTCTTTGTTAATGAATACTTGCCGTCCTTTTCAGGATGATATTTTTCGTTATTTGAAGCCCCATCCTGGCTCTTGCCAGGGGCCGCAATATAGCAAGGCCACAAATATGGCAAATTGGCTGAACGCGGTTTCTGTGACCTCTCCACGGTGATCCTCATCCACATGGTGGCACATTGTGTCATCGGGTGTTTATCGCTTGTGTGATGTCCTGGTGGGGTCGAAAATCGGTCAGTCAGTCAACAATTTACTGAGGCCTCAGACAGCCAAAAAGAGCAACCAAGAGGTTTTGAAAGAGGCCGGAAACCGAAGACAACTTATCACAGACATCAGAAGGGGACAGTCATCATTTTTCGGCCATCTTATGAGAAGAGGGAAAATGGAACACGTTGTAACCACTGGAAAGATCTGTGGAAGAAGGGATAGAGGAAGACAACGAGAGAAGATTCTTTGGACAGTCTTGTTGCATGGCATGGAGGTGTATCAGCACATGAACTGATACATGCTGCAGGAGATTGCAGATTGTGGAGAGGCATGATCGGCCACGCCAATCGGCATGGGTACTTGATGATGATGATGGTACAACAATAGATCGTTCTCCTTAAGGTCGCCGTAAACAAAACAAAAACAAAAAACAAAAACAGATTGCTACGCTTCGGGTCGCTGTTTGAAGTATTGCCGACATTTTAAAAAATACAAACATAAAATAATTTACCGTGTCTTTTTGCATCCGAATTTATTATTGTCTCGTTTACCAATAATGGGCGAATACGTCAGATTTTTTATACAAAAGGATGTTCCGAAATTTTACATTCCCATAAAAACAATGCAAATACATAGTGAAATGAGCTTAGTTTTTAGATTAGTTTATAAATAATAATAATATCTGCATACTGATATGCACTTATGAGAATATTCCGATAGAGGTGATGTCGATTGCTATCTGCAGCAGTAAACTTCAAGGGCTCAGAATGCTAAAGAAGAAGATGACTATTCTGTGCTACTTTATGTAAAGTAAAAGTTCAGAGTACATTTAACATTATGAATTTTTTTTAAGGTATTTTTGTATACACTATTCGTATTCGTATTCGGCCGAATAGCTGGTCCCACTATTCGTATTCGGCCGAATAGTGAAAATCACTATTCGGTACAGCCATAATACAAAGTGATTTTTAGCTGTTGCAATCACTACATAAAATCACCTTGTACCTATCAACTTCCAGCTGCCATTTATTATATTTATGCATTGCTAGGTAGCAACTTTCAACAATAGGTTGCCTGTTAATCTGTGTTTATTCTGGAGGAAACATCTTTCAACAATCAGCTGCAACGTCGTGATATTTGTTCATCTTGTAGCCGACAACTTTCAATAGCTAGTTGTCATGTACTAATTACATTTATTTTCAGGCAGTCACTACATCCCACTGGTTTCAGAGCACTCTTGAATTGATTAAACATTTTGTAACGAAATCAGAGAGACCGAATTGGCATACTGCTAGGCTAAGCACGTACATAACAACGCTTGATCCAGGTTTTCCTCTCGGCACCCCATGTATTTTCTCCTGGACACGGCTCACAGTTTTTAGCGAAAGGTTTGCCAGTGTAGAAGTCATAAGGACACGACAGACACGTTCCCCCGGAGACATATACGGTGTCTTCAGGGCAGCCCCTACATGACGCGAATCCGTGGACAGCAAGGTTCGTCCCTGATGTCAAATTATAAGTGTGACATGATGCTGTCCAGGGAGTAAAATCTGCATTCACCAACTTAAAACCTTGAAGGTTCCACATAATTCCAGTACGGTTAATTCCCTGGTTTATAGCAAAACTATTTTTTCGAATGTTATCGAGAACATATTGATAAAAGTCAGTACTCCTGGCTATGAAATAGTTTGCTATTATATCAAAAGTTGCATCCAGCTGCTTAGACCCTCCTGCTTGTCTAAAATTATAATTGTTTCCACATTTAACTTCAGGGGTGGTGTATAAGCAAACGAGATCAGGCCCACATGACCTTCGCAGAGTTCTTAGGTTTGTTTTTTGACGCTGGGTTAATGTACTGATAGTCGGGTTTGCTGCCGGACAATGATCTGAAGTATAAGAAAGGCGAACGCCGACTTGGACCAGGGACGGCTTTTTGTATTCCAAGCAAACAGGATTATACACGTTAGGCAATTTTGTTAATTTTTGCTTATTCGGATCACAAAAAAGCACTCCACCATCGCCCAGAGCATTTAAAGGGATATCCGTGCTTCGATTCACACACTTTATCCGCATGATAAATGATCCGGTGATTTTAAATTTTCCGTGGAGAGGCAGATTCGGCATAAAGATACAAAAGTTTGGAAAAGCTTCCAGAAACTGTGTGGCCCAAAGTGCACAAAATAAAACACGTAACACCAATGATAGACTTCGCGAAACCATTTCTTACATTGAAAATACCACTCTCATTGGCAGGACTCAGTGTCAATTTTCTTATGTTTTAATTTGATATCTTTTGGTTTTGTCCATCAACCAGACAATAATCTAGTCAGTGATTCGTATTTCACCCATTATGACAGTGTTTTGTCTCGGTGCATTTTTGCACACTTAAAATAACACAAAATTACTTTTCCAAACCAGATTTTTAATTTTACTGCATAATTTTGCAACGTTTCAGCGCGAGCGCACATACACACAAATCGTGAAAAGTCAAAGGCTACGTGAAAAACTTTGCTTGAAACCAAAATACAAATATTATATAAACGTAAGTAATATAAGTGAAAACGCCATTTACTGGATACTAAATTGACATATCACACAGGGAAATGGAAATAAATATTTAAATAAAGCTGTGAAGTGTGCCATCCACCTTTTCAAAAGTCACACAATTCATCATCATCATCATCATCAGTTCTCGTTATGTCTAGTGGCACATGAGGCTTCAGAGAGGACTTTCCATGCTTTCCTGTCAGTGCAGTTTTCCATGTCAAAGAAGCCGCATTCAGGTCACTTTCCATCGTTCATCTCCATGTTGTTTTTGGGCGCCCCTGTTTTCTCTTTCCCTCTGGTGTTCACGTGAGAGCTGTTTTGGCGGAAATATCAGGATTCATTCTCATAACGTGGCCAAGTCATTTCCATCTTCTCTTGGTTTTCATACTGTGTAAAGTTTCTTGGATTGTGACTTGAAGTAGTTTAGTGTTTGAGAATGTATCTGGCCAGAACATGTTGATAATTCTACGTAGACATGTTTGGTGGAAGGTGGACAGCTTGTGTGCATCCTCTTTGGTCATTCTCCAGCATTCCGCTCCATAAACAAGAACTGACAAAATGATGCTCTTGTGTCACAGACCTCTGGTATGACCTTGCTGGTCTGTGGCTCGTAACTGGGCCTATGACAGACAGACTAACCTTTAACACACACTGAACCCGAACGCACACAGAGCACACACGACAATCTTTATTGGAAGTACAGGTAATACATAGACAGTTGACTTCCCGCCGTGTGGCCACCTATTGCCTGGACCCTCTGGCTGAACGGGCTTTACAATCGCCTCGTCCCCAGTACGTGCGACAGGCAATCTTCTGGTGTACAAACCACATCCCGGCAGGATACGCTCTCTTCTATCGCCACGCTGACCCAATCAAACTGTCACAGTCTCTGTCTTAGTGCAGGGTCAGAGTGTCAAGGTCAGCAACTCTCTCACAGCACATATACATAAATACTCTACACAAGAACTATCCTATCCTAACACAAAACTGTACATAAACTATCTAGTCACTAACAGAAATATATCCTAACTTTAATACTATAACTTAAACTATCCGGTCACTAACATAAATATCCTAACTCTAATACTATAACATAACTGTCTTGCTAAACGTCCTCTCTTCCTGACCGACGCACACCGAATGTCCTGTGCTCTCTACCTCGTGTCTCTTGACCCCGTTCACCAGCTCAGTCCCAAAAGCAGTCATCGTGTTTGTCCACAACACAGTTCAGTCTTTCTTGCTTTATCCTGAGCGCTGGTTTCGCCGTGCGATCACAGAACGGACTTGACCAGTCACGGCCCTGACCTCTGTGTCAACCCTGGGTTGTCACCTCAACACACACAACTTACGGTGTGGTACACTGACTGTACTTAATAGGGTTGTGACATTCACCCTTCCTCTGAACTGATACTTCCTGACGAAGTCAAGTATCAGCAAAGCATGGCCTGCCATCATGTACAGTCATCTTTTTAAAGTTTATCGTCAACATTTAGTTACCTAAAGAAAAAATAATACGTCATGTACTTTTGGGTCAATCACCTAAGGACAAACTATCTGGCACATATTTAATGGGTATATACATTCAATGGGCAAGCTCCTCCCTAATGGGTAGAAATGGTATCAGCCCTTGACACAAACACGTCACTACTCATTACACCTTCAAATCATATGGGTAAGTAAAGTAAAGTAAAGATCCCTTTTCACGCCTTTCGGCGCATCGGGCATATGGGCAGAGCGTCCCATATTTTTACAGACCATCAGCACTCTGTGGGTAATGTGGTCAGCATTACGCCGGCTGTCTTTACTTTCCCAGGACAGCCCATCCTGGTACCCATTTTAGGCTGGGTCGACCTGCGACGTCCCATACCATGAAAAAATCCACGGAGCCTGCAGTGGGTTTCGATCGCGGTATGCTGGCTCACGAGTCTGACTCAAATCATATGGGTAATGATATAAATAATAATTTGGGTGGACACTCAAATCGTCCGGGACCCAATTACACCTTACTTCACTTACTGTGCAAGTAAGACGCCACTGTATACACTCCCAAGCCGTTTAACCAACGACACCGTGATTTATAACAGTGGGCGTCATGGACTCTCTCTACAAGAGTTGTCCATGGTTTTGAAAAGGAGTCATCACCTGACTCCCTGACCTACAGTCGTATAATGTGTCCACGAATCCGCAGTACCTGCCAAGACACAAATCACCCCATATGACCCACAGTGCAAAATAGGCAGTAAACAAATCTGTGGCCAGTTGGACACACTTCCATCCTTCAAGGATAGTGCTACTCCTCAAATGTAGTCTCCAAATATGCGATACTAGTTACACTATCATTAACTCTCCATGTGAGTGCCCTTGTAAAATTACAATCTAACTTTCATTTAAATTGTCCATTATCAATTTTAGACAACAACAAAAAAAAACAATTTAAAGAGAAAAAAAAATAAAATAAGTTCATTTTACTGCCAAACTAAATTGTCAGTTATTTTAAAGTCTACTAGTTTACAAAGTTATCTACCTATAATGCATTATTGTCTAACATATACTTTAACATTTACATTTAGTGCACATAGGACACTCAGTTAATATTAAACTCCTTGAAACCTTTAATAAAAATAATGGATATCAGATTGAGTTTCAAAAAACCGAAGAATATTATTATTGCAATTCGAAAATTATAAAACAAAAATGATTGCAAATTAAACAATTAACCATTACTTATGTAATCTAACAAAAATCTTTAGCAAAGAAAAGAAAATAAAATATATTTGTAGAATCCAAATGGATTGTCCCACAAATAATTTTACACTGAAAATAAATAAGCAAAATACATACATAATAATTTTACAAACAAAAGTCATTACACTATATTCATTCCAACAAAACAAAATTTACAAATCAAAATAAATAAGCAAAATATACATGAAATAATTTTCAAACTCAAAATTATTTCCCTTTTATAAATACCACCTCAATAGTTACAAATCAAAATAAATAAGAAAAATAAATACCGATAAATTACTCATCATAGATACCAACACAATAATTACAAATCAAAATAAATAAGAAAAATAAATTTAGATAGATTACTCATCATAGATACCAACACAATAATTACAAATCAAAATAAATAAGAAAAATAAATTTATATAAATTCCTAATCATAGATATCAACACAAAATTTACAAATCAAAATAAATAAGGAAAATACACAAATAAAAATTGTGCGAATGAAATTGAATGAATAAACTTATCAATTCAAAACCAAATAATATACATGAAAGAAACATATGCAACATATAGCACATATAGAACATATAAAACATATATAATCCATACAACATATATTATATTAAAGATGAACATAATAAGATTAACTTATAATATGACAATCACAACATAGACTTTTATTGTATACATTCATTCCCATTTATTCCAATTACACTCTTCTTTCATACATCACATTTTCCATTCTGCTGTAGTCCTTAGAATGATCATCACCTCTATGTTGCTGTAGAGTAATCTTTTACGATTGTTCAGTTCACTGGTTTTAGGCTAGAACAGTACTTGTATAGACTGCTACTTGTCATTTACTGTTGTTCAATTGGATCTATGAAACTTTTCAAATAGTCAGTGAATTTCTGAAGTAACCAGACTGTCCGTTTCAGGATACAACTAGGCAATCAATAGTTTTACAGCCGGCTTAACAGGTCAGCCAGGTTGTTGTTGTTGCCCTTGATATGTGTAGTTGTGACTTGGAAATCTTGCAGTGGTAGTGCCCATCTGGCGATTCGATTGTTCTTTGGGGCACCAGACTTAATGACGAGCAATGGCTGGTTGTCTGATTGTAGGACAAAAAGTCTGCCCAGGAGGTAATGATTGAGTCTTGTCACACAGACAATCACTGCCGTAACATAGTGTACCTGGGCTGGAGGCAACTTACTGCTCACACAGCAGTTCGGGTGCAACATCTCGCCATCACACTGCATCAGACATACCGCAACTGCCGTACCACTGGTATGATATCTGAGAACAAATGGTAATATGATATTAGACAGATTTAAAATAGAGAAACTGGAGAAAAGAGTCTTGCTTTTGGTGAAAGTCTGATCTAGTTCTCGGTTCAACTCAATTGTATTGGAATGCACCCTTTTTACTGGTATAGTGGAAATTACAGTTTCCTGGATAATGTTCGGGGTAAATTGGTTGTAATGATTGATGAGGTCGAGTAAGCTTCGGATCTCCTTATTGTTGGTGGAGTTTTTAAGATTCAAAATTTTGGGAGGATCTTCAAGATAAATTTGGAATTTTAAGGGTTTTTCTGTAAATCCAAAATGTTGGGTTCCTTGACTAGCAGATAATCTATGAGGCATTATTAATAAACATGCACATGTCAACAGTATACATTGCAATACCAAAAATAATATAGCATGTTTTATTTTGACCGGTTTGTTGATTACTGAAAGCAAATGATGGTAAATTTGTGTACATCTGCCTGGTACATCAGATAGTACATTACCAATTTCAGCTTTCTGTGTAGATGTATCTGAAATTTGTTTGTTAATCTTTGGTGTAAAGATTTGTTTGGTTGCAGGTAAGTGTTGTTGTACAGAAAAGAGAATATCTGTCGTATCAACAACATTAGAGTCAGGAATGACAGTTCTATT